GTTGGTACTAAGGTGTGGTAGGTCGGTAGCAAGATAGGTCAGTCGATCAGTAGGTGAGCAGGTGAGTCACCGCGTGTGATGTTTGGTTGGTGGCTAGCTTTGTCAGTAAGTCTTTATTTACCATGAACTTTGAAGGACTCACAAGGCAAACCAGTGTCGCTCTTGAACATGTCATTACTGAGCAAAATGAACATTCCTTCCCTCGAGTACGACGGACCAAACACTGCCAGCTCAAGCTGGAACAAACAGAGCAAGACCACAAGCGTGAGGATGAGGAGCAAGAGGAAGAAACGCTGGCCGGCCTTCTCCTCTCGCCTGCTCAGGGAGAAGATCGTCCTTGCTTTGGTGAATGATTTCTTCCGGCTGAAGCGTTCCTCCCGATATCGTTCGGGGACCGATTGCTTGTCGAGTGCCGGCATTCCCCGGGTCACCTTGGCCGACGGGGCTCAGGCAGTCAGCCGATCGATGCCCTTTATTGCCATCTGACTTGCCATTCAGGTTGCTCTTGTCACGAGAGGTTGTGCAGAGCGCGGCTCTGGTCCCTCTTCAACTTTGGACGCAAACATGGTCGAAGCCACTTGGTACAGCGAGAGAGTTGGAACGAACTCTAGAGGTAAAGGATCTTTACTGAAGTTCGCACGATCAAGAGTCTCGTACTATTTGTTGCCTTCAGTTACTTTTTTTCTTCAAATTGGTCAATTGAAACTGCATGATTTAAAAAAAAAATACGATCTCATAAAATGATCGGATCGGGCATTGTGACTGCAACGTTGTAAAATACTCAATTGAACAAAGCCGAATCATTAAAAAATACAAGCGGTTCATTTCAAATAAAATGAACATTTAGATTCACTCGTTCCCAATCAAAATGTATTTTATTTCAGATTTTACATCCACATTTTTCTTTCCTTTTTTTTAAATCTACGAATGAACCGGCCCATCTGTCCGTTTCAAAAATCAAATGTGGCCCTGGAGCACAGAGGCTGGCCTACTCCTGCTTCCAAATTCTCTGCCCAGTCACGAAGCAACAACACTTTTAATTTTATCTGCGGTTATATTGTTCTCTTTTTGATTGTAAAGTGTCCTTGAGTGTTTTGAAAGGCGCTTATAAATGAAATGTATTATTATTATTATTATTATTATTATTATTATTATTATTATTACTTTTGGACTCCTTCTTTCACCAAAGCTGGGTTGCAGTACCGCTCTCTGGCTCTAGGTGGTAGTGTGGCCCCACTGTTGGAGCAACTGGCCATCCTGTGACCGCGATGATGACACAAGACGATGCCGGTGAACCCGCTTGAGTGACACTGCTGGGGACGGCGCTATGACCGTGCTTCCTTCGGGAGGGGCTGAGGGCGTTTAGTTACACTCCGCTGCAAAGAGTACAAAGTGCTTATTTTAAGCCACTGTCTTAGGATATACTGCATGGTTTGGATAAACAGGTACTTAGGTAGGTAGGTTGAAATGTATGTCATGAGGTGGCTCGAATAGGATGGGTGAGTAAGTATGTAGGTCGGTTGAGGTCATAGGTTGGTGGCTTGGTGGGTACACAAGCATGGATGATCTCCAGCACCTTTGACCATGTTTAACTGCCAAATTCACTCGCTTGAATGCGGCCACACACCCTCTTCTAGAATAGGCTCCAGCTTGGCTACGAGAAGAATTTGGTTACTGTATGTGAGTTGAGGGGTTCATTGTTTTTAGTGGACAGCTCTACTTTAAGGATGGGCAAAAGGAGAGATTTGCTTCGCATTTGCAGTTGACTGCTGGGAGATGCTGACACTGGCTCATTTGCATACTGGAGACTGATTGGAAGACAGCCGTCCCACCCAGCGAGCAGGCAGCAGGCCTATACTGGAACGCTGAGCAGAGCGAAAAGGGGACATGGAGCCGAGTCGAGAAACACCTTGATTCGTCTTACATTTGTGGCGGCAAGCGAGACATTAAGACAGGAAGAAGTGGAGGGAAGGAGAGAGGCGGGAGATCATAAAAATATGTGAAATATCATGTATTCGGGATTGGTTTGCCCCTGTCTAGACCCGGCCGGTCCTGGGGTACGCAGCTGTCACGTGGCACCCACAATCCACCATTGGTGATTGGTGTTGGTAATCCACTCAAATGGGTTACTCACCACCACTGACGCTCGAGGCAACAATCAGACCACTCCATTCAGGAAGTCCAAAATAGGGCGGAGGTTACGAACCCCTTACATGAGGCTCTCTCGCGTGTTTCACAGGTCAGGTGATTGGAAATTGTTGAAAGTGTTTCATTAAATGACACATTTTACATGATTTATGTGAGGACAATGTAGGACCACCTTACTACAGATCGTAGTGAGACTTAATAATGCTTCAAATAAACTGTGTGCCCACATGATAAACTTGGGCTGGTTTTATTTGTGTCATAAGTCTCGATTCAATATTTCTTTTGACATATAGGGGGCTTGAATTTTGAAACCTATCGACATCATGTAACGTATTACGATCCCATGTTTTGGACAGGTGTGAAACTGGTTTGGGGCACCGTGTGCATGTCTGATGTTGTTCACTGTGCTCCAAGCGATGCAAAGGGAGTTTGTGTGAATGCTCAGATGCACAGAAAATTAGAGAGAGAGAGAGAGAGAGAGAGAGAGAGAGAGAGAGAGAGAGAGAGAGAGAGAGAGAGAGAGAGAGAGAGAGAGAGATCTCCTTGATATTCAGTAAACAGTTGGTTAATGACTCTAATTCCATGAAGAAGGTGGAGCATCTTGCCCCCTTCCCATAACATGCATTCAAATGTATGCTACCTCATTTTTCAAGCATATAACCAAGAAGTAGATTTGCCCTTTGCCCCCCAAACACACACGCACACACACACACACACACACACACACACACACACAATACTCATTAAAAGAGTCCTCAAGAGAGCAAGTACAAAAAAAAAAAAAAAAACAGGAAAAATGTCATGCAAATCAGACGAGCGTTGTACATTTGCGGGCACAATTTGCCAACAATTATCGTTTCAACCCGTCTCCTCGGTAGACAAAAGCAAGGCGCGCCCTCCGAGGAGGCAGGAAATCAGCTTTTCAAGAGCTCTTGTGCTTGAAGAGCGAAAGGGCAAGGTGAGGCGGCGTGATTGCTCGGTGATTAGGCCCGAGTGGAAGGGAAGCCTCACGACCGCCTGCGGGTTCCTCCTCTTCTCTCTCTTTCTCTCTCACACACACACACACACACACACACACACACACACACACACACACACACACACACACACACACATACAAACAGACTGCGCAATAAACAAAGAAAAGAGCACTTGACTCTCTGTTGAGCCACTCGATTGTTTTAGGGAAACATCATCAAGAAAATTGATCTCGCCGCCTGCTTCCGCACACGGTGGTTAATTAAAGCAGCACGCCGAGTACAGCATACAGGATTTGTATACATTGTATCGTAATAACGCAGTAGCGGAGATTGGACTAATCCAAGCAGACTGTTTACTAGCAAAAAAAAAAAAAAAAAAAAAGATCCAAGTTTGGTTTGTGGATGACCTGCACACCGTTTTCAGCGCCCAGAAAATGCTGATATCTACAAAGTAAACATTTTCAGTTACTCGATCGACTTCCTGACCTCAATCCGACAACATATGTTCTTCGATTGAGGCCATCGGTTGATTATAAAATGTCGCTGAGGGTGGCAAACTTATTGCCATCGGTTTTAAAGTTGAAATGTGTCAGTTTGACCCATCACATTTCATGCGTATGACTAACTGTGAATCCCAAGATACAACATCGGTGGCCCGGACGTGGATGAAAATACGGAACTCTTCATTTGCGCAAGGCAAACTTAGATTACAAGCAATCACACTTGTTTGACGGTTTGCGGTTGCGAAAGGTTTATTTTGAAATTCTTGAGTTATGGTGTGTGAAATCAATGTCTGGCACATTCTTGACTTTACGCCATATACCCAAGGACCATCCTCTATTATTGATGACCTACTTAGCGTTGCAAACAAGACACACAGGCGCCAACATGAAATACCTCTTCAATGATCAGCACACGCTGATGTCAGTCAATGATCTGAGCATCACATAAGGGAGTGTTTATGACCCCGAACGGGGAGCGTAACTGTATTGCTGCAGCGGACCATTATTTTATGCGTGCTTGTTATCTGTCAGTCATCTGGCTCATACAGAGAGATCACCTTATACCTTCCTTCCCGGTCGGCTAAGAATAGCTCGAAAGCCTTTTGATGAGGGATCTCACTTATCTCCTAAGTATTGCAGGCCAACTGAAATAGAACATGGAATATAATGTCATGTAAATAATGTAACAGCAGGAACTTTTAGACATGTACATTTAGGGAACTACCCACAACATGATGTACAGCTACACAATAAGGTCCAGAAAACGAAGCTTGGTGCAGTGCGTTCCAACAATTAAACGGGGATCTTAGAACCAAGGTGGGCAAAGTATGGTCTCTGATGTCGGACTACGGAACTGTAGCTGAGTTTAACGGCTTCGGGAAAGCAGCCTCGTGGTCCTGTGGGTTGAGTACTTGATGATCTATCGATTTATCTATCCATTTATATCCACACATATACAGGAGTACATACATACAGAGTACACAAACATAAATCTGCACGTTTTCAATGTTTTATATCTGCTCTATTATTTATTTTGTAATGTTCATGTATTTCCTTTCGCGTTGTGCTTTGTCTTCTACTAACTGTAAAAAAAAAAACATAAATAAAGGTGTTTCTGTATTTTACAGAATGTATGGCTCTATTCTAGAACTAGTGAAACAGGGTCTAAATACTCAGTGGGAAAGTGCGATGTAAACGACTTTCCAAATGTTTATATTAAGACACCGGTTACTGCATAGATAATAGATACGTAGGCAGTTTATGTTATATGTGACACAGAGCGCGCACATTGACAGACGTTTCGAATTGTACACGCGTACCTAATTATGTGTCCACACACCCACTGCGTCCAACCACGCCGAGGGTCGAGTGTTTACAGTACGCCAGAGGACACGTGAGTGACACCTCTTCCGACCAATCGTAACGCAATCTCAAATCAGTGCTTGAGCAATCAGAGACGCGAGGTGAGCGTGTGGCTCCGCCCTGCCGTGGACGTCGAAAAGAACGTCATCAGCTTCATACATATAACTTAGCTTTAGCCAACATTAGCTTCGCGCTTACGTGCTCTCTAAACTAGTGTGTCTCTCGCTAACCGATAGTCCGCCTGCACTCACTTAGTTGACGCTCGTTTCAAACATGACTTTGAAAGCGGAACGTCCAGGCGGAGACGGGCGGAGAGGGCACCTGACTGGCTAGCTTTCAATCCCGTGCTAGCGGCCGATGGACGACAGGGGCTAACGTTTCAAGAGCCGCTAAGCCTATCACAACAAGCCCAGCTCCTTAAACGCAACCCGCCTCTGAAGCCACACAAACGAGGACTCGAAGAGGCTCTAAGTCTTTAACGGTAAGTACACGGACGGGGCACACTTCCTGATACAAACGTAACGTCGGCTAGTGTTGTGTGTGTGTGTGTGTGTGTGTGTGTGTGTGTGTGTGTGTAATTTGGCGACTGTCAAGTGAGCGTCGTCTTAATTGGTGTACATGCCAGCCTGGGCTTAATTAGCTTTACATTAGAACCGCCCTGCTCACTGCTTCGCGGTGGTCAAGTGAAATTGTTCACTTTGTGGACTCGGGTAGTTAAATCCCTATCTTTCATCCGTGTTAGTGTTGGCACCTTGATATGAAATTGATGCAGTTTGGAGCCGACAGCTGCAAAGTCTGCGGCCGCGTTGAAGGGGCCTTTAATGTGTTTGCATTCGGTTTCGTCTGTGGTCTCTATAACCTCACGTTATCAGTGGCAAAGGGGCTTGTTTGATTGGCTGCCTTGATAGCTCGGGTTCCACGTTAGTTTAGTACAAGAACACGCGCGCGCAGCTGTCTTTTGCAGGAACACCGGCCAATCCTCCACAAATGCTCCCACTGGGGAAATGATGCCAATTGAAAGCATCTATATAAAGTACATGGAAAGTGAAAATAAAGGGCTTCAGAATTTGACACACCACACAGGAGAGTGCTTTCAGCACCTGCCAAATTTGAATGACAACAACAAAAAAAAAAAGGCAACTCTATAGAAATGGAGTCTTCGAAATCATGAACGTTCAAGTGGTATCTTTGAAAATCGGTTGCGCATTTATCGAGCAGTGTGGCATCCAACCTTCTTTTTTTTTTCCACCTGCCGGTGGTGTACCAAAAAGCAAAGGATGGAAGGGCCACGTTGAAATCAAGCAAAATCTATATTGTCTACCGTAGAGTAATTTTGGCGTGAGGTTAGCGATGAACATCACCCATATAAAATCTGCTAATCATGGATGCCCCTCCCCTCCACCTTGTTAAGGTGCCTAATACGATTTTTTTCATTTGTATGTTACAAGTGAGACGTACAACCTTTTCGACTGCATTTATTGAGGCAAACGACTGCTTAGTTGGGCATACCTGCGCCTTGCGTTGAGCAGCAAGCTTTGAGCACCCGATCACGTGATGACTGAAGCCACTACCGGGAGCTGAACCAGCACATTTCATGCCCCCTTCCTACGGTGTGCTCGACTGCCGTCCAGCAGCATTTTGCATTCCCGACGATGCCGGGCTGCCGACGACTGACCATGTCCATTCCAAGCGCTGCTCTTCCAGGAAGTTGAGCGCTTCTGATGCAGCTTGTGCTTGTGATGAGTCATCAACCAGGGGCCATTTAAGATATCCCTGGCGAGTCCTCCTTGCTTGTAAAAGCATTCACTCTCTCTCGCTATCTCAAGCTGGCTAAAGTCCAATTTGCAGGACTTTTCACATAATGTACTTTTAATGGCAGTAAGCATCAGCGAGGTCCGAGCTCATCGGACAGCCCGGAGCAAGTCGGCTCCCGTGTGTTTGTCTGTGTTTGACAGGCTGATCCCGGCCTGCGCGCATCCTCCAGCAGCTAACTCACCACTAAATCGACTTAGCTCGTTAAAACGGCCCCGCTTGTCTGAGTCCGCCGGCCCTTCTCGGTCTCGGTGGTCTGGAACGTAACCGCGGCGATGGAGGGAGGATGACCGTGTACACGGTCGCAACTTTGAAAAGTTTCCAGTTTGTCCCAGACCGGACTTGACTGTCTTTCCTTTTTTCTAACTCGATTCCTTTGAGTCGGCCCCGAATGAAGCCGTTCATGTCTCGAAAAGGGGATCCTGTGCAAATGTAATTTTGCTACCCCGATCCGATTCCAAATTCTTAACGATGAAAAGTCGACGAAGCTGCTCGCTAGCTGCTGCATCACGAAACTCGGCACCGGACATGAAGTCTCTCGATCGGTATCTTGAAATTTGAGTTGCCGGTCCAATGCGGAGCGTTGTTTCATCGCCCTCTGTCTCGTCCGTCCTTTTTCCGGAGGCAGGCGCGGGTCTCCGCCGAGCCGAGCCGAGCCGAGCGGAGCCATGGGTGCCTTCCTGGACAAGCCCAAAATGGAGAAGCACAACGCCCACGGCGAAGGCAACGGCATCCGCTACGGGCTGAGCTCCATGCAGGGCTGGCGAGTGGAGATGGAGGACGCCCACACGGCCGCGCTGGGCCTGCCGGCGCCCGGCCTGACGGACTGGTCCTTTTTCGCCGTCTACGACGGCCACGCGGGCTCCAGGGTGGCCAACTACTGCGCCAAGCACCTTCTGGAGCACATCATGGGCGCCGGTTTCGGGGCCGCGGGGCAGCGGAGCTCGCCGGCCGGTTCGGAGAGCGTCGCCGACGCCCCTCCGGCGGAAGGCGCCCCCACGGTGGAGGCGGTGAAAGCCGGCATCCGGGCGGGCTTCCTGGGGATCGACGAGCACATGCGCGGCTTCTCGGACCTGCGCAACGGCACGGACCGAAGCGGCTCCACGGCCGTGGGCGTCCTCCTGTCGCCCGAGCATTTCTTTTTCATGAACTGCGGCGACTCGCGCGCCGTCTTGTACCGGAACTCCCAAGTGTGCTTCTCCACGCACGACCACAAGCCTTGCAACCCGCACGAGAGGGAGCGCATCCAGAACGCCGGCGGATCCGTCATGATCCAGAGGGTCAACGGCTCGCTGGCCGTCTCCCGGGCCTTGGGGGACTACGACTACAAGTGCGTGGTGGGCAGGGGCCCCACCGAGCAGCTGGTGAGCCCCGAGCCGGAGGTTTGCGAGATGCTCCGGACCCCCGAGCAGGATCAGTTTGTCGTCCTGGCGTGCGACGGGATCTGGGACGTCATGTCCAACGAGGAGCTGTGCGACTTTGTCAAATCCAGGCTGGAGGTGTCGGACGACCTGGAGAGAATCTGCAACGAGGTGGTGGACACCTGCCTGCACAAGGTTTGGTCCCGAGTGTGTGCGAGCGCGTGCGTTCGCTGGCCGGCCGGCCGACTTTGATCCGCTTCCTCTTTCCTCCCATCCACCTTAGGGGAGCCGGGATAACATGAGCGTTGTCCTCGTATGTTTGCCCAACACTCCCAAGGTGTCCGAGGAAGCCGTGAGGAGAGACGGCGAGCTCAACCGGTACTTGGAGTCTCGCGTGGAAGGTGGGCATGAACGGCCGCGTTGTATTCCCCTCGGATGTTTCCGGCTTCTTGCCCCGACTTGGCCGCTTTCTATTGTCAAACCGAGTCGGAGCGCGCCGACCGCAGAAGGATGACGCCGTCGTGACCTCCTTTTCCATTTCAGCGAGCTTGTTCCCCCTCGCGTCCCTCCGACATGGTTTTCTCCTCTCCTTCGCCCAGACGCGCCGTGTCTTCTCTCCCCGCCCGCATTGGCCTCCTCCTCATTTGGCCCCTCGCGAGAGCCTTAACGCCTTTTCATTTTGCTCGTTTGCTTGGAAGCTCTTCTCCCCGGCAACGAGGGCTCTCCAGCTCTTTGACATTCTGGTCAATTCATACAAATAGACTTTCACCGAATGGATTTATTGGCACCTCGGAGTGGAATGAAGTCACTCAACGTTGCGTGCTAATGTAAGTGTTTGGCTTCTTCGGCCATCTCCTACTGGTAGGGCAAAAAAAAAAAAAAAAAAAGGGTCAGGAACGTTTTCGTGGCAACTTGCCACCAGTAACTAACTTGCATTGGTCTCTTCTACACATTTGACACCGTGCGCTCGTGGTTAGCACCCCCCTCCCCCTTGAGTCGGTCTAAGTGGCACCGAGTTCCGTCAACACTCGCGTTGCCGACAAGCAATCCTGGGTGTCAGCCGGGATGGGCTCCAGCTCAGCCCGAATGAGGACAGGCGCTCTCGAAGCCGCGCGGGCGCACCTGTCAACCGTCCTCGCCGCCGGGCTACCGGCAGACATTCGTCCCCTTGCGTAACGCGCTCTCCGCTGTGGTTTTCAGCGATGCTGTCGCGGCCGGCCGACGAGGGCTTTCCCGACCTGGCGACGGTGATGAGGAACCTTTCGGCTGACGGCAGCATGCCGGCGCTGCCGCCGGGGGGAGGCCTCGCCAGCAAGTAAGAGCCCCTCCGCCACCGCAAGCTGTTTTATCTTCAACGCGCCACCGCTTAAAGGGGACATATTATGGATGGGAAATTGATTTTTCAATTGCTCCGATGGTTAAGTCTTGGAGGGAAGTGACACAACAAAGTACTTTTTGTGTTTGCTACCTTTTGAGTGTTGCCGGCGTGTCGTATAACACGGCTAATTGAGACAATTAGCCGCTAGTTTGGCCGTTGCGCCGGCTCGATATCCAACATGTCCAAGTAACTGCCCAAGTCAGTCCGCCCGACACTCTGAAACGTCATCCTGTCAAAGTCAAAAGCTACCGAGGCCCTGCAGCGTTTGTACATCTTAGCCGACGTGTCTGTTACGTATGCGATTGTTCGCCGAAGCTGCGCACGTGGGGGGTCATCGGGTTGGGCCACGCGTCGGCTTCGCGCGTCACATGCGGCACGTGCTGTGTGCTGAGCACAAATAGACAAGTTGATGGAGCGCCACCAGTGAAAATAGAAATGATGCCGTGGCCGCATAATTTTCTCTTTAAACTCGTAAATCGTCTCGTCGCAACCGCCGAAGTTCGCCACAGCCGCCGCGGAGACAAAGCCGTACTTTGTATTGGCTCTGGAGTACGTATGGATAAAAGTGAATGAACTGCTTTGAAGCAGGTTGACGTTGGATTCTCTACTTGTTTTTGAATTTCAGAGACCTGGGGATTTTTTTTTTTTTTTTTTTTACGTCCTAACATTTCCCCTTTAAATGTCGGCACACGTCATCGGTTACTAATTGACGTTTTCCATCACAGCATTTGACTCCTGTGACTCAAGTATCGGAAATGAAATTGTGGCCGCCTCGGTGGTCTTCATGATGTTTGCGAGCGGCCTCATGTTTTGGTTTCATTCCACTGTTCTTCTTGCAGACAAAGCGTTATCGAAGCCGTCTACAACAGTCTAAGTCCCTACAGAGAAGAAGAAGGGGTCAGTATCCGTCGCGCTATCCGAGACTTTGTAGCGTCATCGTCATTTGACAAGTCAAAATGAGAGCGCCGCAGGTGCCGTGCGGACCGTCGGCGGTTTCCCCTCGGAAGGGTCGCTCCCCGTTCGTGTGGGTCGTTTTGAACGGCCTGTTTGAAGTGAGTTGTTGTCCCCTGAAACACTTTGTTCGGAGCCGCCATCGTTGTCACGTCATTGTAAGCCGGTGCGCTACCCAGCTCAGGTCTACTGAACTGACGCCCCCCCCTTTGCCGCAGCATTCCACTCAAATGCTTCCAAATGTTCGGGTCCACCTTTTTTGCCCTTCTTTAAAGTTCTCCCTCTTTTGGTTCTGCGCAATCACAAACGGCTGGACAAGCGAGTCAGTTTTTCTTCCCGGTTCTAAACGGTTGACATGAATCCCAGTGCGTCGTCTGACCAGATGGTGTCAATTTTGTACTTGGTCTCCACCGCGTTAGGTGCACCCGCTCCATTCGTCAATTCAGACATGCTGAGCGCCGAAATTTCCGGCTTCCTCGGTTATCTACTTTGAGGAGAAATTGTGTTCAGCGCGCGCACACACACGGAGGCACAGAGGCTGGGTTTACACTGCAAGTCCCAAGTGTCCAGTTCCAATTGAATTCATTCCTCTAATCAATCAATTTCTCTGTCCATTCCAAATGAGCTGCGTCTGACATGCCCAAGTTGATATTGACGGAACGTATTGAAACCACCCGCATGCGGACATGTCCAAGTTGTATGAAAATAACTTGACGCGTGGCAACAGTGTGCACTGGCAACACCCACACAAAAGGGAAATAAAGGATACAAATATTGGAAGTTGCATAGTTCTTTTTTTGTTTTTTTTTTTGCGGGGGGGGGGTGTAACCTTCCTCCACATGACTACCTGCGGCTTAGCTTATTTCATAATGGACACGTCTCTTCTGTTTCGACCAGGGGTGTCCAAACTTTTTCGTTTCAGGGCCGCATCCAGAAAAAAATCTGAAGGATGAAAGGGCCACTCTTAAAATTCATCCGCGCTCAAGTCAGTCAAGAAAGCAATTCTGTATGTGCAGCTCATTTCATCCGCTCTCTGTTAAAAGTGTTAAGGAAAAGAGCTGAGGATTTTTTTGGGGGGTGGCCAACAGCCCTCTGGATCTCGCGGCATAGATCCGGCTCTGCCCCGAACAGCGGCCCAAACGCCACATTCACAACCCAAAAAGTGTCCTAAGGTGACTTGAGAATCATTCACGTGACGTCTTCATCAATCAGCCTTTGAGCGCAAAGTGGAAGAAACCATTTTTGCCTCGAAAATGAATTGACCTTGATTCAATGCAGTGTTTTGAAGATCGACGGTGTTGTTCTTTTCCCCATTTATTTGCATGTTGGAATCTGGAGAAAAAGAGCGCAGCCTCCCTCCTCACTCTGCCCACCTTCGCCTTTTTTCACTCACCTCGCGGCCCACGTCAAATGTTATTTCCGTGTTTGTTTATCTTTGGTGCCGTCGCCGGCCGCCATTGTCGTTTGCTCTTGGCATACCATTTACCGTTCCCGTGCCGGTTTTGAATTTGCCCGCGGCGGCGTGCGTTTCATCACGTCGAGATGGCCTCGACCGTCGGCTTTCGACGCAAGACGACAGAAATTGGACGGAAACCCGGAGCTTTTGGACAATTTGACGATAAACGCGGTGGCCGAATCACGACGCGATGAACGCAAGAGCTTGTTTGTGAATGAGGTCGTTGATTGGCGGTCAATTGACTTCTCCGGAATTGCGTGGCGTCGAGAGCAGGAAAAGAATCCCGACGGTCACTTGAAGCGTGCAGTGTACATGGAGCCGTAGCGGGATGTCAAGCGTCTAATTGTATTCACCCTCTGCTTAACGCAGCCGTCCTGTTTCATTTGGTAAGTGACGCTTGCCCCTTTTCCCTCCGACTGGCCCTCACGCCTCCACGCGTGCGACCTCTTGCGGGCATGTCCACCGGCCACGTCGTCTTCCATCCGTGTCCACTTAACGCTAGCATGCGGAGGCGCGTCTTGTGTGCCGACGATGGACTGTCCCCTTTTTGCCCTGACGTTCTGTGCGCATGCATGCCCCCCACCCCACCCCGACCCCGACCCCTCCTGGCGGGCTCTTCAACTGCACGCACGCAGCCCTCACGCCTCCACGCGTGCGACCTCTTGCGGGCATGTCCACCGGCCACGTCGTCTTCCATCCGTGTCCACTTAACGCTAGCATGCGGAGGCGCGTCTTGTGTGCCGACGATGGACTGTCCCCTTTTTGCCCTGACGTTCTGTGCGCATGCATGCCCCCCACCCCACCCCGACCCCGACCCCTCCTGGCGGGCTCTTCAACTGCACGCACGCATACAACAGCAGAGGCAGTCCCTGTCCCTCACTTGCTGCCACCAAGAGCGGTGTCCTTCGAGCTCTTCTGTTGCAGGCCTGCTAGCTGGCCCAAGTGTGACCCGCTTGCTTTCCTTTTAATTTAGCGTCCAGGTTGCTCAGCGTCTGTAACATGATAACCAAAAGTCTCTCTTTTCCTCCTTCTGCCCCTAATGTGAATTCTTTCTCTCCTCCTTTTTTTTTCTCCTCCCCCCCTCTTTGTGACCGTCCTCCGCCAGAGTGGCGCCAACCTGGAGTGTCACTGGTAGAAGTTCCTGATCTGCGTAGAAGACAAAAAAAAAGCTCCACGATTGTCCCCCCCATCTTCAGTTTCTTCACATTTTCCACCACTAAGAATTCACAAGGAGAAAACTTGTGGTTGAAAATAGGAAGATGATGATGGCAGCATCAAAGCACCTTTTGATTTGTGCCAGTTACGGCCTTCCGCCACTCTTGGAAAGACCGTTTCACACCGTGAAAGAAGTGAGAAGCCCAGCGTGTCGGTCAACGACTTCCAAAGCTCCTGGCTACTCCTGACCGGACTGATGGTTGAAACACTTAAGCTTTGGTTTGCCTGAAAACCATTTCCTGGACTTTGAAATCCCTTGATTATTATCTTTTGTTTCTGCCACAAAGTCCAAAGACTGCCACACCTGAACACGGGGGGGCTCACCACTTGGGCCGAGCGTGGTCCAAATTTTCCCCTGCAGTCCAAAGCGACAGTCAGGTGTGCTTTCCGTTTGTGCTCAATCCTTTTTTCACGTGCTTCCTTAGCTCGCCACTTGGCTGATGTTCATGGACCCGACACGCTTTGTTGTCTTACATCGGATTACTGTTGTCAAGATGGCCGAATCACGACGCGATGAACGCAAGAGCTTGTTTGTGAATGAGGTCGTTGATTGGCGGTCAATTGACTTCTCCGGAATTGCGTGGCGTCGAGAGCAGGAAAAGAATCCCGACGGTCACTTGAAGCGTGCAGTGTACATGGAGCCGTAGCGGGATGTCAAGCGTCTAATTGTATTCCACC